GTTCCCTGAGTCACGCAGCAAATCCCCAATGGCTGTGTTTCACATACGGTATTGTAAGTTTCCATGTTACTCTCTCCATCTCCCTTTCTGCCTCCTCTCCTTCCACCACGTCCATAGGTCTGTTCTCCGTATCTGTCTTTCCACTGCTGCCCTAAGAATAAATTCATCAGTGCCATCTCTTCAGATTCCATATATATGTGTCAGTATACGATATTTATCTTTCTCTTTCTGACTTACTTCACTCTGTATAATAGGCTCTAGTTTTGTGCACCTCATTAGAACAGATCCAGATGCGTTCCTTTCTATGGCTGAGTCGTACTCCATTGTATATACACCACAGCGTCTTTATCCATTCATCTGTTGATGGACATCTAGGTTGCTTCCATGTTCTAGCTATTGTAAATAGTGCTTCAGTGAACACTGAGGTACGTGTGTCTTTTTCAGTTTTGATTTCCTCGGGGCATATGCCTAGGAGTGGGGTTGTTGGGTCATATGGTGGTCTTATTCCCAGCTTTTTAAGGAGTCGCCATACCATCTTCCATAGAGGCTGTATCATTACATTCCCACCAACAGTGCAAGAACATTCCCTTTTCTACACACCCTCTCCAGCATTTATTGTTTGTAGACTTTTTGATGATGGCCATTCTGACTGGGTGAGGTGGTATCTTATTATAGTTTTGATTTGCACTTCTCTAATAATGAGTGACGTTGAACATCTTTTCATGTGCTTGTTTAGTTCAGTTCAGTCGCTCAGTCATGTCTGACTCTTTGTGACCCCATGAACCACAGCACGCCAGGCCTCCCTGTCCATCACCAACTCCCGGAGCCCACCCAAACCCATGTCCATGGAGTCAGTGATGCCATCCAACCATCTCATCCTCCGTCGTCCCCTTCTCCTCCTGCCCTCAATCTTTCCCAGCATCAGGATCTTTTCCAATGAGTCACCTCTTCCCATCAGGTGGCCAAAGTGTTGGAGTTTCAGCTTCAACATCAGTCCTCCAATGAACACCTAGGCTTGTTAGCCATCTGTATGTCTTCTTTAGAGAAATGTCTCTTCAGGTCCCTTTCCCACTTTTTGATTGGGTTGTTTGTTTTTCTGGTATTGAGTTATATGAGCTACTTGTATATTTTAGAAGTTAATTCTTTATCAGTTGTTCCCTTTGCTATTATTTTCTCTCAATCTGAGGGCTGTCTTTTCACTTTGTTTCTGGTTTCCTTTGCTGTGCAAAAGCTTTTAAGTTTAATCAGGTCCCACTTGTTTATTTTTGTTTTTATTTCCATTACTCTAGGAGGTGAGTCATAGAGGATCTTGCTTTGATTTATGTCATTGAGTGTTCTGACTATGTTCTCCTCTAAGAGTTTAATAGTTTCTGGTCTTACATCAGGTCTTTAATCCATTTTGAGTTTATCTTTGTGTATGCCTTTAGACAGTGATCTAATTTCATTCTTTTGTACACAGCTGTCCAGTTTTCCCAGCACCACTTATTGAAAAGGCTGTCATTGCCCCATTTGACTTTATTTGTCAAAAATAAGGTACCCATAAGTGTGTGGGTTTATCTCTGGGTTCTCTATCTTGTTCCATGGGTCTATATTTCTGTTTTTGTGCCAGTACCATACTGTCTTGATGACTGTAGCTTTGTAGTCTAGTCTGAAGTCAGGAAGGTTGTCCCTCCAGCTCCATTCTTCTCTCTCAAGACTACTTTGGCTATTCAAGGTCTTTTGTGTCTCCATATTCTATTTAGTTTTTTCTGTCTTTTTATGAGTCTGGGCTTCTGTTTATTTTTTATGAGTAATAAAAGAAAATGTGTCAGTGAAGAATACATTTTCCTTCCCTTGCTCCCCTGATCTTTAGCTCAAGAACTTCTGCCTTCAGCAACCTCTCAGCAGTCACTTACTTATCATCTGCTCCGAGTCAGGTCCTGAACCAGGAGAGGGGGTGATTCTCATGTCACATCTGAGACACCAGCTCTGATCTGAACCAGCTTTGGTTCCCAGACAAATTTTACATCAACTTGCCAGGTAACTTCACTTGGTTGTGCTGCTTTCATCTCAAATTTGACAACTCCCCCCACGCCCTGCCTGTGCCAACTGAGCTCTTTCTAATTCTTCCTCTGAAATGTGCTCCCGGATCCTAGTTTTCTATCATGGCCAATCCATTAATTCATTCAACACGTACTGACTTAGCTCCTTCTACATGACAGGCACTTGGTCTGATGCTGAGGACTGGGAGGAGAACAGGAGTGGCAGAGTTCCTGCTGGGGTGTAGTCTTCAGACAAGGACTAAGCAAATCATTGCATAAAATCCATAAAGAATTTACACTGTGGTCTGTACTCAGAGGAGGCCCCCTTTTGTGTCTTGTGATGACTACTCTCATCCTCTGAACTGTGAACACATCCTAACACTGCCATTTGTATATTTGTTCATTCACTCACTTATTAACATGTGTTTCATAAGTGTTTGTTAAATGCCCACTGAATAAAGGCCCAAGCACTGTGAAGATGCAGAGGTGCATAAAACACACCCTCTGCTCTCCCTTGGGCTTCCCTGGCGGCTCAGGCGGTAAAGAATCTGCCTGTAATGCAGGAGACCTGGGTTCAATCCCTGGGTCGGGAAGATCCCCTGGAGAAGGGGGTCCCATTCCAGTATTCTTGCCTGGAGAATCCCATGGACAGAGGAGCCTGGTGGACTACAGTCCACGGGGTCACAACTGAATGACTAACACTTTCACTTTCTGCTCTCCCTGGATGTTGCAGGCTAAAGTGAAGAGGCAGATCAATAAGCAAATACAGTCAGCAAAGGGTGTCATTATTTTGATAGATAACGACAGGGGTAGGTAGGACTAGGTAGGGGTGGGCAGGAGGAAGGTGCTTTCTAGAATATGAGCTTAAGGACATAAATTATATTTTATTCCTCTCAATATCCCCAGCATGGGGCCTGGAAATAGGCACTCAGAGGAATATAATGCACGGGTGTATGAGCAACATCACACAGACATCACACTGCCACCGAGTCGGAGCTCAGATGCAGGACAGTCCTCTGGTTTGTTTTGTTCATCCACAATTCTATCATCCCAGATATGGTGGGTTTCTCTCAATATCCGTCTACAAGGATTTCATGATTCACAATTCCATACCCAGGATTTTTGAACTCTTTTTTTTATCTCTGGAGGTTCATTTGCACACAAGTTCCTTCATGAGAAGGATTTATAGCCACACCTCTGAAGCAATTCCTAAACATCCTCCCCATCCCAGCTGGTGTCCAACCTAGAGAACCCCAGTTTCCTGACGCTGGTTCTGTTGTTTGCTCCAGAAAACTTCACAAAGGGCGTGCCACCTCTGGAGAAGGTTTTACAGTTTTCATCCAGGACAAATGATGGATTCTGTGGTACAAAAGAGAAAATATTTTGTGGTGTCTCAAAACAGCAACATAAACCAAAAAACCCCACAAAAACCAACCTTGCTCCTCCTCAAACCCTAATGAAATGTTAACTGTTTGACGGCTAAGTCACAGATCCCGGCACATGTATTATCTGATTTATTACTCACAGCAACCTCCGGAAATAGGTAGTCCCATTTCTCAGATGAGGAAACTGAGGCTCCAAGAAATCCAGTGGCTTCCTCAAATCACAGGACTCAGAAACGACACAGAGGGTGCTGGGCAAACCAGGCGTGGACATAGACTAACAGACAATGCTTCCCTGTCCATGTCTGATGTTCCGCGGAAAGGGAAAGCCTGCTTGAACCCTCCTTCCAACCTTGTAAAATCTAATACCATTTACCACTCACAAGTTCACGATTGCTTTTAATTTTGCTCCTTGTTCCTAAGTGTAACTGGAAGAGGTTTCATCTTCCCCTGGCTTTGCTATATTGAAAGAATAACAGATGAGCTTTCATTTCTAAGAGCTTTTCACAGGTGGAAGATGAATTTGTCCTCCGAATGTCTCTTCATCCAGGTAAGAATCCTTTCTTGATGTTTTGGTTTATTGATTCTTTTTTTCCCGCTGTGTCTAGTTTTGAAGAAAGTTAATTATTTCTTGTTGAAACAAAGGATCTCTCTCTTAAATCCTGTACTGGAAACATGATTTCAAACAGAAGCCACGTCGGTTGTGAATTGTCCTCAACGTGTTCCAATTTGGTGGAAATTACTTATACTGTTCCCTGGAAAATTATGACTGATGACATTTATATTTTTAAAACTTGATTTTTAAAACTTGACCTGAAAATTCAGTTGATTTAGAGTGTGTAACCATATGAACATTAAAGGTGGTGCTTTTTTTTTTTAAACTTTAAAAATTCTTCTTTTTAATTGCACAGGTTACTATATTCACTGTTTTTATTCAAATGGTGACACTGCAGTATGTTTTATACCTCTTTGAAAATTACAAGGCAGTGCTTTATGTAACCCATCTTAGTCTGTCCTATAACCACTCAGCTTTTTTTTTTTCTGATATATTTTTATGTTCTAGGATAGTCATCTAATATGGAATTGATAGTCTTTTTTTAAAAATCTATTTTTTAAAAATTCAGACATCCGTTTGATTTATTATCTTCACTCTAGACTGAGTAAATCTGATGGTTAGGGGAACCAAATACCTTGCCAGAAATCTCAACACTTCCATAGACAAGGGTAATTTTTAACGGGGTTTGTGAACAAGAAAATTTGCTTGATGACTTGAAGTTCGTAACAGCGACTGGAAATCCTGATATTCTAAATACAGCCTGTCACAGTCGGCAACTGAGAACGCAGGCGCCTGTTAAACGTGCCTCTTGAGGGGCAAAAAGACACTCGTGCCGAACTGAACCCCAGAAAATAGTGCAGGAATCGTTCGTTGTGTGTCTCTGTCTTAAACTCTGAGATAACAGGGTCTGAGAGCAAGTCAGCGTCCTAATGATACCCATTATGAGACAGTGTGGCTGGAAGGAGGAGGGAGATACCAAACTGGAACTAATGACGGAGGAGAAGTTCCAGCCCGGGCGGTCCAGGAGACGAGGGCGCAAACCTCAGCATCAGCCCTGCCGCCGCAAACCTCAGCATCAGCCCTGCCGGCGCGAGCAGGCGCAGACGGTGCCTGAGCGCCGGGGGCCTCTGGAATAAATCCTTGGTGATAGTAACACAGCCCGCAACAGGGCCACTTTTATATTTATAGTTTATTCTCCACTATTGCCAGAGGCCTCAAATCCCACGTAGTCAAAACCCTCCATTCACTGTTGCCTGCTGGGCATTTAACAAGGGCTCTTGTAACAGGACCCAGAACAAGTCTGTGCGTGAATAGCAAGTGCAGGGGCCAGGCAGGCACCGCAGGCTGCCAGGCGCCCAAGAGGAGGCATCGAGAGAGACGCAGAGAAAGCACACAGTGACCCCGAGTGCCTCAAGGCACGGCTTCAAAAGGTGTCAACACCAATTAAATTGTAAAAGCTCCGTCAGCCTCTGAAAAGTCCTCCAGACGGGAACAAGACAGTACACAATCAAAGGGCCGGGACGCGATTCTGTAGGGTCCACCCTGCACCCGGGACACGCATGCACGCCTGGCAATTCGTGATCCGTCCGGAGCCTTCACGTTGTGGCTGTGCCCCACGGTGTAAACACCCTTCGGCCGGGAGCTCTCCGGGTGTACCGCTGGGGAGCCTGGAAGGCCTCTATTAGCAGGTAGAGACTGGCGGCTCCTACAGGTAAATTGCCCCGAATGCAGCACTGACTCAAACATGTACCACTGCTGATGCCGCAGATGATGAGCTGCGGGATAATTGCCCGGTGTCTCGGTCTGAGCCCAAGAGTGGCACATGGGCTTCTGTAACAAACAACACTGCAGAGAGCCCTTCTTTGTCCGGTGGAATCTACCCTTTCTGGCAACAGGACATTCTGATGGTAATGAATTTGCAGGGGGCTTGTTTGAAATATTTCCACCCATAGGAGATGACTATGTGTTTCCTTTTTGGCCTTGGAGAGTGTTAATGTGTGTCTTTAAAGGATTTATTAGATCTGGGCAAAGGTAGCCTAATCTCAATTCATGAACCGATGTCTCTCTCTCTTTCTGTGTCTCTCTGTTTTTCTCTTTTTTGCCTACGGGTAACTGTGATAGGTATGACCAATTTATTGGATGGTTTTCAAAGTGACAGCGGAGTTGGGGAGGAGAAGAAATGCGTTTCATAGCCAGGGGAAAAAGACTGGGAGAACTGTCAAAGTATTTCTCACATATTTTATTGCTAAGTCATTTTCTTGGTCTACAGAACTTTTTCACTCGCCAGATCAAGCAAAATGCCTGGGGTTTGAGGTGGATGAATTCATGCTGAAAAGTAGGCTATAATGACATTGAAGTTCCAAGCATGGTCATTCTTTTTAAAAAAGAATAACTTGTAAAAGATTACTCTTATCTACTGTTTTTATTTTTGAGAAAGAACCTTACTTAATATAAAGATTTAGAATGTAATTGTTTTTTTTTTTGACTCGAACTATTGATATTTGAGTTCAGATATTTTTGAACTGACATGTTCAAATATTTTGAATACTTTATTCAAAAACTGAAATTTGTATAAAGTTGAAATTACTCTTTTATTTCAAAGGAAAGATTAACCAGACATAAAATAATGCAGCAGATTATTGAGAACCGGCTTGCAGCTATCATTTGTTAGATTATCTATTAGATATCTTCTTCTAAAATAGAACAGTAGAAAATGAGTTCAATCATCACACAGAGATAGAAATATTGATGAACATACTTATTATTCAAATTTTAGTATTGATGCTGCGTTAGTCAAGTTGGTCTAAGTCATGCTATTGTAACAAAGAAAGAAATCTAAGTGGCCTAAGACGGAATCAGTTTCTTATGTACAAGGGCTGAGAAGACAACAGAACAGTGTTCCTTCACGTGATTTCTGCATGGCACCTCTTTACCAACATGAGCTTCCAAAATGATCATGAAGTGCCTGCCATGAAATGCGTCTACCCAGAAGTGACATCATTTCTGTTCACATCCAATTAACCAAAGCAGGTCACGGGGCTGCCCCAACCTCCCAGGAGGGTGAGCACCATTGTCTGTGAGTCTGAAAGGAGAAGGAATTGATATCAGTTAACGGGCATGGATCTGGCCATAGGTCACTCTTCCCATAACCAAATATCCTTTCCTCTCATCCTCAATTTAGAGTCAAGGAAAACAACCCCCAAACTCTCATCCAGCACAAAGTCCAGGATCTCAGATAAGAATGAGGCTCCTCTTGGTACAGATGTAACCACAAGTGGGGTCTGGCTGTTCGCTGCTCAGAAGCCAATAGAGGCCAGGTTGGTGGAAAGGAAAGTTTGCTTTATTTTGGATGCCAGCAGTGGAGTGGGAGGGTGGACATCTGTCCAAAGGCCAACTCCCTCCTGCCCCCCGAAGATCAAGGGGCTAGAGGTTTTATAGGATGAGGGAGGGGGCTACATGCAGAAACAGCACAGTCAGCTCTGACTGTCATCTTGAAACTGGTCATTGGTGGTCTGATCAGCGTCATCTTGATTGTTTTAAGTACAGTCAGTCTTCAGTTCCCTGGTTGGTTTGTTCCCATTTCTCTGAGGCCAGTTCTCGGAATTGTGGCAGTTCCTGTCATGGATACAGTCTGCTCATCACGTCCTTAACTCCTCCACCTGCAGGGGCTTCTGTATCTGTAAGACAGCTCACAGGATATGGCTCGGAGTATCATCTATAGCCCTTGACGAGGAACTGAAGGTCCTTGACCATGCTCAACGACTAAGCTACTATTATTTGGTCTTCTTTGACTGTTTTCCTTTCTTACTGTATTTTCTCACTTCTCTGATTAAATTTATTCATTGGTTAAAGTTCTTCCCCCCAACAAAAGGCAGGATGGAACATGGCCGTGTGGGGTAAGGACCATAATAGGGTCCTGCTGCATTTTACAGAGAAAGACGAACTTAAAAGAAAGGTTATTTTCTCCCCACCCACCATGATCCATAGACTATAAAGAAAAATGAAGCCAGTTCTGAAACTCACAGTCACTGTGGGGACTACCCAGAATGTTCCGGGTGAAACCCCACTCTGTACCCTGCTGTTGTTCTCAGTGACTCCTGGCTCCCCACTCTGGAAGGCAAATTATTCCTCTATTTTCCTTTATCACATCTGGAATGCGTGCTGGGGAAGTGTTCTCTCTGAGGTGTAAGCAAATTTCTTAGTCTGTTCCTTGCCTGAGAAGAGTTATGTCCCATGGGTGATTTTAAGTCACAAAAGCCGGTCTCCTTGAGTCCAGACTCAAGCTTCCTTTGGGATGAAATCCTATCAAAAGTTTCATAGGTGTCTTATCTATGTGGTTCTGTACAGCTCCATGGACCGATTCCACACCCAAAATCTCAGGTTTTCTGAGATTTGGTTCCTGGAATATTTACTTTCTTATTTTCTCCTCTCTTCCTCTCTTTTCCTCCTTCTCTTTATCTCCTCCTCTAATAATATTAAAGATCCAAGCATGGACATCCTTAAAAAGAAACAAAGTCAAAAAGATTACTCTTGTATACTGTTTTTTTTTTTTCTTTTAAAGAGACCCTCCCTTCAATATTTGCAGTTGCTTTTCCCTTAAATCTACTGAGATGTGGGTGAGAGTCACGCATTGTCTCTTTGCTATTTTTGTCCAGTTGGAAGGATGAGTGAGGTGCCTCACTTTTAATTATATCTTTATCCTGAGATACCTTAATCCATTCCCAGATTTCAATATGGTGTGGTAGCAATACCTTTGATTCAACCCCTGCTTTAATGCTTAGATTTCACTTTTCTGTCTTGCACAAAGTTGTCTCTCAGAACTGAAAAGTCATGTCTGACTTTTTGTGACCCCGTGGACTGTAGCCTGCCAGGCTCCTCTGTGCATGGAATTCCCCAGGCAAGAATACTGGAGTAGGTTGCCATTTCCTCCTCCAGGGGATCTTCCCCACCCGGGGATGGAACTTGCATCTCCTGCGTTGGCAGGCGGATTCTTCTACCACTGAGCCTTCTGGTCTCCAAATGTCTGTATTCTTTTGCTTTGGTTTATTCCTGATTGCAAACCATTTTGTCCTTTCTGAGTTCACCTCTTTTTCTTTTTCTTGCTGCCTTTCTGAATGCAGCTGACATCAACCTGCAGACACTCTGATTTTCTAGTTAGTCTTTCTTCTGGAGTGACAAGTTTATTTCTATCTCATAAATTATCATAGGTGGTAATATTGCCAAATGATTTGCCCCTGCCTTGATTGATTGCCACCTTCCCGCCTCCATGGGAGGTAGCCATGCATAGCCGCCACTCTCCGTAAGATCAACACTAAGTCTTGCCACATATTTTGGAGTTTTTGTCATGGCAACCTATAATCCTAGCATCAATATAAATAGCTGTTGTAGTCAGTGTGGATTAGGTTAGGCTGGACTAACAAACAACTCCATTTTCAGTAGCTTGCAGCACAAAGATTTATTTTTGTCTCATGCAAAGTCTACCAGAAGCCCCAGGAACTCTCAGGACAGCTAAGCTGTCCCTACATGATAGCTCAGCACCGTCCTTCCTCAGAAATGTGGTTTTCCAGCGGCCATGCCTGAGGAAAACTGGGGTACAGAGTTGAGTGCCAGTAATCAGAATGCTTCTCCATGGAAGTGATACATATAATTTCTACCACTCGTACCTTCTCGGAGACCAGGATGTATACTTCTCTTGTGCTTCAAGAAGACCAGGAGAATTGGGTGCCAGGGGCCAGAGGGCACCTCAACCAAACCTGCAGAGTCTGTGACGATGAATGAGGCCTAGAGTTTAAGTAGTGGTTCCTGAGATCCTGTGACTGTATGCACTTTATTTGTACGATTTTAGAATCACTGGTATAACCTGAACTGGCATACTGAACTTTGTATACTTAGTATCAATAACTTTAAAAAATATTTAAGAGGTTTTCATACAACTTTTGTCAAAGGCTTATCCCGTCTGCTTATTCAGAGTCCAGCTTACTTTGCAAATGGCCACTGTAAAATGCTACTTACTCACAGTTTTCCAGTTGTAACAGTCAGGTGTTGTGTAGGTGCACGCCAGGTCCTGTCTTCATCG